CCCCAAAACCCCAAAACCCCAAAACCCCTCAAGAAGTAATATATAAAGGATTAATCATGATTTACGCATAATTTTAATAATCTTAAAAATATGAATTTTTTCAAGAAAGTGTTTTTTGGCAGTGGAACCACTGGGGAAGAATCTAAAGCTTCTATTAATGATAGCTATGCTCCAAACGATCTTACTAAAATATTCAAAATGGAGGACTTTGAGTTAATACTTGGAGTTTCACTTCAGGAGATTTAATTCTGTCAGTTCAAAAGAGTTGAAAGAGGCGGCCAAGTTAAAGAGACATTGTAAGATAAATATACTTCCATTTTTAACCAATATTCTAAAGATTCCTTAATGCAAACTTGGATATGAAGTCGACTGAAATCTTGATAGAATAAAAAAAGCATACACTCATTGTCCTTCAGATCAATAATGAAGATTATGATTCTTCTCAAGGTAAGATACAGTAAACTTAAAAATTGTTGTCTAATTTAGAGTAAGAACCATTCAAGAATCTTCCAATCACTCAAGATCTTTCAATTGTTCAATACAATGGCTTCAGTGATGACGATGAAGATTAAGTTATCGGCTTTGTTTTCATATACTAAGATTAGAATCTAGCTTTCTCAATTGAGACTATTTTAGACTCAAAAGATAAATAGAGAGCTCAAGCTTAGAAAGATTCCTTCGAGCAATTCAGATTTGTAGTCTGTTAAATTCTATTAGCTCTTAATGAAGGCAAACACTTTTCAAAGGTAGCTAAAAAGGAGTTTTTGAAGTATTCTTAAGATAGCAGCCTAGACTTCATTATGAAGTAGAATGACTTGCTAGCAGTATTTGGACCAGATTATGCTAAGAAGACTTAAGCACTCAAAGCAAGAGGTGCTAGAAAACCAAGAAAGCAGTATAACAAAACTGAGGTTTAGGAACTAATTAAAAAAATGAGTCAACTAGATATCATGAAGGATGAAATCAAGGAGATGAACTAGATCTAAATCAATATAATCTAGAGACTTATCCAAGTACAAGGTGACTTGCTTGAATATAGTCCTTTCATTGAAGAAAATTTTGAAAGAGTCAAAAATGTCTTCCTGTGTATTGATTAGACTGACAAATTTGAGTACATAATAAACATTATTGACTTAGCTGGAAAGACATCCTACACTAGAAAAACTATTGTAAATAGTGCTGATGTTTAGGTATCAAGCTAGGATCAGGCGTTTATGTTTACTGGTAATCAAAGAAAAGGCTCAAAATTTACTCCAGGATATGTCTTCTAAGTCTATAGTAAACAAGATCTCCAAAACCTTAAAGGGGTTCTTACTAAGTGTTTATTTGAAGTCAGACATCAAAAAGACTTTGACAAAGAAATTGAGGGAGATGATAATCAATTTTTATAAAACTAACTTGAAAGTGATACTGCTGGAGGAAAAGATGTTAACATGAAAGAGATTGATGAGGAACTTGATGATTACGAATTCCAAGATGCATTGAACACAGCTGCAAAGCTAGGCAGCTAGCCAGAATATGATGATGACTTTTAAAAGCTTCTCGAATTGGTTGATTACTCATGTATTCAAGGGTCAGACTTTGGTGATTATGAGGAGGAGAAGAAGGAAGATTATCGTAAAAATGATGATTATTATGACTATGATAACTATAGAGCTTAAAATGATGATGACTACAGAACTTAAAATGATGATAGTAGGGAAATAAGCCAGCCTAGTACTAGCAACAATTAAGACTAGATATATGGGGATAATAGAGAACTTATATAAGCTTAGAGTTATGATAGAACATTTATCCTTAATGGACCTGTTGTGAAAGTATATCAAAACGCTGAGGACAGCGGAATTGGTAATCATTATGATCACCAAAGATTAAATCATTGCTTAGATTTGCCAGTTATTAAAGATTCTCAAGGTAATTCAATAAATCCAAGCAATTTAATGCTACACAACAGTGAAAGTCAACTGGTCTTTAGAAATGAAAACGAAAAATCTTAGGTATTTATGTTTGACCTTGAATCTGGAAAGGTAGTCTAGTAACTTAAAACAGGATCTGATTTTATTGAATTTGATAGATTAGTAAATGAAACTAAGAATGGCTAAAAAGATCCAGACTAATGTTTAATTGCTATGAATCAACAAGGAGTTTACAAATTAGACCCGAGAATTGCTAAGAATAATGTGGCTGATTCCAAAATTTACAAAACCTAGACTTTCTTTTAAAGTATTTGCTCAAATACTAATGGAGGATTTGCTCTTGGAAGCACTGATGGTTCAATTAGAATGTATAAATAAATGGGCTAAAATGCTAAGACCCTGCTACCAGGATTGGGAGAACCAGTAATTGCAATTGATGTCTCTTAGGATGAATAATGGATCTTAGCTACTTGCCAAACTTATCTCTTAATTATCCCTACTAAACTATAGGATGGTACTACTGGCTTTAGCAAAAGTATGGGTAAAGATAAACCAATGCCTTTAAAACTTACTCTTAAGCATTAAGATATTGTTAAGTACTAACTCTAACCAATGAGCTTTACTCCAGCTAGATTTAACAATGGAGACAATATCGTTGAGGACAGTATTGTAACATCTGTGAGAGACTTACTTATCACATGGAACTTTGAGAAGGTAAAGAGAGGAGTTCTCAGAAGCTATAAGATTCAAAAGTTGCCTTCAAAGGCAGTAGATGGACAATTCCAATATAATAATCAAGAGAGAATGCTTGTTACTCTCCCCAATAATGTTAAGATTGAAACAAGAAAGAAGGTCCATAGAAATTGAATGACCATAGTCAAAGAGGTTGAATTAGAAAAAATTAAATTTAAAAAGAAAAAATTAATTTCCTAATCTTGAAAAATAAACAAGTGGTGGGGTTTTGGGGTTTTGGGG